GGGTCCTACAGGCTCATTCTGGGTCATTTTGGGTCCTACAGGCTCGTTCTGGGTCTTACAGACTCATTCTGGGTCCTTCTGGGTCCTTCGGGGTCATTCTGGGTCCTACAGACCCATTTTGGGTCCTACAGACTCATTCTGGGTCCTACAGGCTCATTCTGGGTCCTACAGGCTCATTCTCCTTCAAGAGGATCCTGTTCCAGACCCCCAAACGGACATGAGGTGGGGACGTAGTCCTGGGTTTGCTGCTCATAGGTTCCTGTGTTCCACTGTGCCGTCACATTAAAGGGCTTTCTAAGCTGGAGTTATGATTTATGGCTCAAATAGCCGCTAATGTGATGATTACCGCTCTGTGGCTAAAGCTGAAAATAATAAGAACTAGCATATGGCTGTTCCCGCGGAGCAGCTGTGAGAGTGCTAAGTGCTGAATGGAGGAAGAAGGAGAAGAAGCCAAAGAAAAGCTAAAAAAGACACAAAACTGAAGAGTTGAAGAAGAATGGAGGAAGCAGAAGAAAAAGGCTGAAAGGAGGAATGATTTGAAAGATTTGAACCAGCAACTTCTGGATCTTTCTACCACTGAGCTACACCACTCAGCTATACCACAGGCTGAAGGGTTACAGAGGAATACGTGTGAAAAAATTGAAGGAGCTGAAATGCCAGTGACCAGCAGAGGGAGCCATATTTTTTGCTCCATTTATTTCAATGAGAGGAATAAGGCATAAAAGGTTAAATCTTAAAAAGTTGAAAAGATTTGAACACCAAAAGTCACAGCTGCTTAGTCCCGAGATAGCTGAACATTCTGATACCTTATTTGTTTAGATAGGCTGAAAGGTGTAGGAGGAATTAGATGCAGAAAAACGTACGGAATATGGAATAATAAAGAGAAACAGGAAAACAATAGTGAGAATGCCTACTGGCATTCTCACAATAAGGTTGGGAAAGGCTCTCCTATAAAAGTACCTATCAGACGTCCTATCAGACCTCCTAATAGACCTATCAGACCTCCTAAAGACCTCCTAACAGACCTCCTATCAGACCTCCTAAAGACCTCCTATCAGACCTCCTATCAGACCTCCTAACAGACCTCTTATCAGACCTATCAGACCTCCTATCAGACCTAACAGACCTCCTAACAGACCTCCTATCAGACCTCCTGGTGCACCTCCCCTTTCTCCTCCTGCTGCATCTTACCTTAAACGACCTGAAGTTCTGCTCATTATCTAACAGTTGTTGCTCTGTAGTTAATTCCTCTGCGTCCTTGTGGGTGTTTGCTAAACGAAGATTCATGTGAGAGACTCTGCTCTTTTCAGGGTTGTTGCTCAAAGGAATTCATGAGAGAAAGAGAAAGCAGAACAACGTGCTGCTTTGTTCAGGTACAAATAAAGAACGAATGTGAGGACAAAGATGGATGAAAAGCAAAGAAAACCTCGGCTCTCAGCAGCTGTCTGCCTCTGTCTCTGCACAAACAAGAGATGAAAACACACCAAATGTTTCCAAAGAAACCAATAAAATACCAATAATACAAAATAATTTAAATAATTTAAAAAGTTA